TACATATATATATAAGATATATATATCTTATATATCTTTTAAGCAAGGGTGAAACAATGAAAAATACAGCACTATTAGCTATATTAGCCATCGAATACGTTTATCTAATACATCATATTTATTTTTCTCTGCCCTTATTACACTTGATAATTTTAAAGACCACTTCCCAGCCCCACCTCCCACTCCCCCTGATTCAGTTCCTGGAGACAGTTTGGTGTTAAGTGTTGGTGACTGATGTGTGTACACAAGTGCTTGTCTTTGTGTTCATTGGTAATTTATTTCTTGGTCACTAGATGGTGCTCTTTTACTTTAAAATAAAGTCCATTCTGTCAAGGCTTTTGCTTTTTATCCGTTTATTGTTCAGTTGATGCAGAGGTGATAAACAGATTTTTTCTTAAACTGGGATCTAAGGCTTCCTGGTACATAGGAATTTTAATGTGATTATCTAACCTGTAAAATAGGAGGTTTACAGGTTATCATGCCAATCACAACTTACCCTTTATTGTGTGTGTGTGAGAGAGAAAAATACTTATATAGAAGCATTTTGTCATGTGTATTGGGACAGTACATAGAGATTACAGTTAAAAAATTCTCATATGATTTAATCTCCAGTTTCATATTCTTGGTTAAGAATATCTTGGGAAACCACGTATTTCAGCAGGTGCTAAGGCAAGTGTGATGTGCAGGCCAGGTTTGAGAAGCACTGGGCTCACCTCAGACCAGTGCTATATTAATGCATTTTCAGGGTGGATTAGTATCAGTGTCAGCCAGCAGAAATGCAAACCCCAAGATCGAAAAATTGGAAATTCATATGTTGTAGAATGAAACTTCACCCTTATCTCTACCCTGCACAAAACTCAAAGTGGACCAAAGACCCAGGCATTAGACCAGAGACCCTGCAGCTGCTAGAAGAAAAATGTAGGCCCAACACTCCAACATGTCAGCACAGGAACCAACTTCCTTAACAAGATTTCTAAAGCATAAGAAGTAAAATCAAAAGTTAATAAATGGGATGGCATTAAATTAAAAAGCTTCTTCACAGCAAAGGAACCAATCAAAAGTGTGAACAGAGAGCCTACAGAATGTGAGAAAATCTTTCTCACCTGTTTCTCAGATAGGGCATTAATCTCCAGGATATAAAAGAACTCAAAAACCTTAACACCAAAAATCCCCAAATCACCCAATCAATAAATGGGCAAAGGAGCTAAACAGATAACTTCTGAAAAGAAGAAATATGAATGCTCAACAGATATATGAAAAAATGTTCAAAATATCTAGCAATTATGGAACTGTAAATTAAAACTGCACTGAGATTTTATCTCACTCCAGTCATAATGGCAGTTATCAAGAATAAAAGTAATAATAAATGTTGGAAAGGATGTGGGGAAAAGAGTACTGTTTTAGTCAGCTTTTCTTGCTGCTGTGACTAAAAGACTGGGAAAGAAATATTTTAGAGGAAGAAAACTTTTTTTAGGGTTTCACGATTTCAGAGGTCTCAGTTCATAGAGAACTGGCTCCATTCTTTGGGGCTCAAGATGAGGCAGGATATCATGGCAAAAAGTATGGCAGAGGGAAGCAGATCACATGATGATCTTGAAGCAGAGAGAGAGACTCCACTCACCAAAAACCAAATATATACCCCAAAGGTGGGCCCAAAATGATCCACCTTCTCCAGCCATACCCTACCTACCTTTAGTTACCACTCAGTTAATCCCATCAGGGGATTCATTCACTGATTGGGTCAAGGTTCTCATAACCCAATAATTTCTTCTCTAGACCTCCTTGTGTTGTCTTGTACTTGAGTTTTTGGGAGGCATATCATATCCAAACCATAACAGATACACTCAAAATTGTTCTTGGGACGGCAAATTGGTGCAACCACTCTGGAAAGCAGTATAGAGATTCCTGAAAAAAACAGGAATGGAACCATCTTATGACCTATCCCACTCCTCCATTTATATTCAAGGGTTTTAAAATCGGCATACTGTAGTGACACAGCCACATCAATGTTTATACCTGCACAATTGACAGTAGCCAAGCTACAGAGCCAATCTAGGTGCCCTTCAGTAGATGAAAGGATAAATAAAATGTATATATACATACTCAGTGGAATATTACTAAGACATAAGGAATGACTCTATAGCATTTGCTGATAAATTGATGGAACTGGAAATTATCATCCTAAGTAAAATAAACCAGTCCCCAAAAGTCAAAGGTCTAATGTTTTCTCTGATATGTGAAAGCTAATCCAAAATAAGGGTGTTGGATTTGGAAAAACAAAAAAAAAGAATCATCATCATCATCAGTGGAGTAGACAAAAGAGAATGAAGGGAAGGGAGGAGGGATGCGATAGGAAAAGACAGCGAAATTAATCTGACCTATCTTTCCTTTGTACATATATGAATATACCATAGTGAACCTCAGCATCATATACATTCACAAGACACCAAAAAAAAAAAAAAAAGCTATAAGTAAATAGAAAGATCAGAAGAATAGAAGGGAGCCAAGAGGGGAAGGAAAGGGGAAGTACTGGGGACTGAATTAGAATAAATTATATTACGTGTTTTTATAATTATGTCAAAATGAATCCTATTGTTATATATAATTAAAAGAACCAATAAATAAAAGAAAACAAAATTAAATAAATTAAAATGTAGGGGAAAAAAAGAAAAGCAGACCCAAGTTGAGGTTCATCATTTTGAATGCAGATAACTTTTTATATAAATATTGCCTGGAGGAATTACAATGAACATCATAAGAATTGTGGACGTAGGGAAAAAGTATCCATCATATTATAGAGAGAAGGCCAGCCTGTCCTTGTTAGGATGCAGGAGGGGACAAGCATTGTGAATAAGAGGTCATATTACAGGTTCTCTTCTAACTTGTGGTGGTTGGCCATCCGTTGTGCCCTATTTTTAGGTTCCTTTATTTATAACACCTGATATTTAAACATTTTAGAAAGTTTTGAACAGTGTTAAGATCTTTAATCATCATGATATCCCTGGGACAGGGCAGATGTCAGAGGAGGGATTTAAAAACAGGATAAAGAGTGGTACCTAGGCCAAGAGCAACCATCAGGAGACACAGTCCAGGGAGTGGGCAGGGGCTGGAGATGATGGTGCCGATGCAAGCACAGCTGCTGGGATGTATCCCTAAAAGGCCAGAACATTCCTGAACTCTGAAGCTTCATGGGGCACTGCTCTTAACTATGATTTCACCATCTTGACCCTAAGAATAACCCATTAGCTGTAAGTAATGTTCTTCCCTTCCCCTTCCTTCTTTCTCATTGCCCGATTGCACCTTAAGAATATGGTGGGCTTTTCCCAGCAGCTCAGGAGGCTGAGGCAGAAAGACAGTGAGTCCAAAGCCAACCTCAGCAAAAGTGAGATGCTAAGCAACTCAGTAAGACCTTGTCTCTAAATAGAATAGAAAATAGAGCTGGGGATGTGGCTCAGTGGCTAAGTGCCCCTGAGTTCAGTTCCCAGTACCCCCCCCCCCCCCCCCCCCCAAAAAAAAAAAAAAAAAAGTATGGTGGGCTTAGCCTGACATTGATTTTTCTGTGGACTGGGATAGGGAGATCACAATACAGGGGAAATATGTGTTGTGTAGTTAGAATCCCCACCTAATGATTCTGGTTCCTTATCCTAGAAAATTAATGCTTTAGAAGAATTAAAGGACTCAGGCAGAACTGTGTGTTAATTCTGAAAGGTACTCAGTAAACATTCACTGAGTACAGGACATAAAGGACTTAGCAAAGAAGTCGGTATGTTGTAGGCATCAAGAGGGTTAGGTTGTCAATGATGTTGATAGTTACAATAAATTTTCTGTTATTGAGCTTTATCACTGACACTATTAAGTAGAGAACTTTCTGCTTGCCTCAGAATGGCCTTGGTCTGCATCAGGCTGACCTATAAGGTAACAGAACACCCAGATTTCTCAAGGACTTGAAAACCTAGTTAGAGAATTAAAGAGCACATCTCTGTACTGGGGCTTTTGTCTCCTTCTGCCTGGAAAATTCCAGCTGCCCCAACTGTCTCACCTCCTTTATGACTTTACTCAGATCTTATTTCTGAGTCCTGAACGCTCCTCTCCCCTTCCCATAGCTGGTACTCCTGATCCCTTTATCTTGCTTTCCTCACCCCACCTCTTTTTTTATAATTTATATTTTAATATATTAAAGAATGTATTTGGGTTTTTTTGTTTGTTTTTTACTTCTTTCACAAGGTGCCTCAAGTTCTCTACGTTGATAGCGATCTTTTTCTTCCCCGATATATTTCCTGGTGCCCGGAGCAGTGCCTGGTGCAGGATAGATATTTAGAAAACATTCATCAAATGAGTGAATGCTTTCCTATATAAAATTCACTAATAAAGAATAGACACAGCAAATATTAGTCACTTGGTAAGAATTCTGGATAAGTGGTAAATATTTTTTTTAATGAAAATTAAGGTCTCCCCCCACCTCTGTTAACCCTAACTCTGAGGATGTCTTCTAAATTGGCACATAGTTTAAAAGTGTGGATCCAGAGTTGGAAGATATTTTAACGACCAAGTCTCTGAGTGAGGGGTTCTCTGGGGCAATTTACTAAATCACTGCATGCCTTAGGTTGTTTTTTTTTTTTTTTTTTTAACTAACAAAGGTGTGGTATGGATTCAAGAAATTTATTCAAACCCTTAATGTAGCAAGAGCTCAATTAACAAGCTAAATTTATAAGTGACTCATTTTCTTAAAAATAATTATGAAATTTCCTTTGCAGTTATATACTTACTTTTCAAAAAAGAAAATTAAATTAAATGGCCTAGCCAGTTTTCAGAAGGCAAAAAGCCACAGATTAAATGCACAATTTGTGCATTTTCCATGTGCTCATTTGTATTACAGTGATAACACTTTTATAGTGAAGCAAATATTGTAAAATCTCATTTTTTATGTTGTAACAATTTCAATACAGAGTTTGGGAAAGTTGGAGAATTTCCCATGAGCCTTTGTTTCTGGTTTCTTATAGATCCCCATATTAAGGTTTCTGGAAAGAAAGAAGATGTTAAAGAAGCCAAGGAAATGATCATGTCTGTCTTAGACACAAAAGTAAGTGAATATTAAGGACACTCAGATGTCAGAACCTTGTCTCTGCAAGGGCTGCTTCATGCCGTTATGAAAGAACGGAGAAGAAAACCAGGAGAAAGGAATGGTGGGTTTTAAAATAAACACATGTGATTCTACAGTGGATATAAAATTCTGTTTAATATTTGAATAGGTTCACCATGCTGGGCAATTGAATAACATTTATAAATACCCATAACATACACACACACTTATGTATGTGGATCGGTGTATGTGTGTGCATATGTACGTACCATCTTTAGAAAGAGACATTGATGCTGGTTAATATAGTGTACAATATACATTGTAGGTAGCTGGGAGAGGTGGACCACACCTGTTATCACAGTGACTTGGGAAGCTGAGGCAGGAGGACCAGAAGTTCAAGGCCAGCCTTGGCAACTTAGACCCTATCTTAAAATAAAAAACAAAAAGTGCTGGAATGTAGTTCAGTAATAAAGCACCCATGGGTTCAGTCCCCATTCATTCCCCATAAAGAAAGAAAAATATTACAGGAGTAGCATCTTGGCCTTTACCATTCCACTAGGAAATCACAATGAATCTTCTTTGTATAGCTGTGTATTTAGTGTGATAGCATGAAATTTGATGCCTGCGCTTGTGCAGGTGTGTTTTCTTTCTCCTGCAAGATGCATATAGAGAGGTAACCAGGATATTTAAACACATGAACATTTGTACTCAGCACATTACATGTCAGGTACTTCACTAAGCACTTTATATATTTTACAAATATTAGTTTCGGTTTTATAACTAACTTAGCACAGAGATAGTGGTTTGCACAAAATCCCCAAACTGCTAAGTGGAGAGGTGGGATTTGTATCCAGGCTGCTGATTGTTTACCACAGATTTTTTTTTTTTTTTTTTGCCACTTGGTATTTCATTTGTGTGGTCTCTGACCTGTTTTTCTTCTTTCTTTTGTTCTCCCATCAAAAAAAAAATACTTTTAAGAATTATCTACCTTGTAATTACTAAATATTTTAGAATAGTCTCCCAAAAAGTGGGATATTTTACTGTGTTTCAAAGGTTAAGCTAAAAGAATTAAGTTTAAAAATCAAAATAATTAATGGATATAGATTGAAAATTACCAATATTTTTAATGTCTTATTAGACTTCTTATTAAGGACTGTTCAGCAATAGTTTTATAAATACAAATGGGTTTCATGTTGGTTTTTATAGTTTTACAACATCCACCTACCCCAAATTAAGTATATTAATTTCAGTATGACCACTGTGTATTTATTCTTCATATCCTGGAATTTTACATTTTGTTTTAATATAATCAATCTACTCAGTGTTCATTTACTTAAACCAGTTTGCTGCCACAGGTCTATGCTTTATGATTTCTTCCTCTCCTTTCTTCCCTCTAGGAAGAGGAATATATTTTACAAAGTTCAGCATACAGCAACATAGAAGTTGTGAAAACAAAATTATTACTCACAGTTTATTTCTAGTTTTTTTGTTCTCTTGGTTTTATATTCCTCTAACATGCATATCTTTAATCTTGTAATTATGTTTTCATCTATTTTTAGTTATCTGAATTAAATGTTTCATGAATAATGTCTTTGAAGAACAAATGAGTAATTTATCTCTAATTGTAGCTGACTTTATGTCTATTTCCCCAAAAAAAAAAATCTTGGTAAAGTATGTATCTGTCTATTCTGACAAATTTGTCTAAAAATGAAAATTTTTCTTAATTAGCCAAAGAGAAATTGATGGATTGAGCATTTTAGATTGACATGATTTTATTAAGGGATCTGTACTAAGTCACTTTTGTTAATACCAAAAGCATCAAATCCCTGGTACATCCCCCCCCCAAAAAAAAAGACAGTGTTTAGAGAGTAGTTGTTCCTTCCTTTTTCATGCATCAAGAAATAATACATTGTTTCCATGTAGAGCAATCGGGTCACATTGAAGATGGATGTTTCACATACAGAGCACTCACACGTGATTGGCAAAGGTGGCAACAATATCAAAAAAGTGATGGAAGAAACAGGGTGTCACATCCACTTTCCAGATTCCAACAGGAATAACCAAGCAGAGAAAAGCAACCAGGTGATTCGTCTTCCCACGTGAACGTTTATGGAATGAATTACAGCCTTCATTTTCAGTATGCATATCCTTTTTGAGAAATGAGAGCAAAAGATGTAACCATGTAGATGATGTGCAATATAGATTGTAGAACCCCTGCAAAGAGACTGAAGGTGCTGTGTCTTTTGGAGGATGAATCGTAGGTAGATCCTAAACTCTTGATCTCTAAATGACTGTAGAATCAGAGAAAGATTTGATGGTCATAAAATAGAGCCCCTAAGAAAAGGCTGAGAGAGCCTATCAGTCAGGAGAAGGTGTAGAAGTTTGCCTAGTCCAGGACCTATCCATTCTCTGTAAAAACCCAGAAGTGGGTCTTCAGGGCTACTCACATCACCTTCTGAGAGAGAGTGCATGAGTGCTTCATTTATGAACACTGGCCGAATCATTATCTATCAAATTCATATATACTTTTTGTGATTCTTCTGTTTGGAACTCACCTGTTCATATGTGAGCATTTTCAATACCCAAAGAACAGGTAGTGTAAATTGTGTTATATGGAAGCATTATCTTTTCTAAGCTAATTACAAGACTAGAAACTGTAAGCACTGATGGCAACAATGAATGTATGCATAAGGTACTAGATAATCGAAAGCCATGATAAAAGGCAAGTGTATCATTCAAATTATCTAACAGCTGCTATGGCATGGCCATCAGCCCTTAGAGCTGGGTTGTGGAGCTCCTGTACTCTCACCCCAGTGTGAGACTAATGCTTTAGTTGATGGATCATGGGAAGGCTCAGGCATCCCAGGGTAAAGCTGGAAGAATTGTATTGGACCAGCGATTATTTACCAGCTGGTATGGGAGAAGTTCAAATGTTGAGAACTTAGTCCAGCCATATCTGATATGCAAAGAGTTTAAACAAGAGGGAGAAAGATGCCATGGGCAAGAATAATTATAAAGATGGCCTCATGGGGGCTATGAAGCTGTAGGTAAGTCCAAGGGATGATATAGATCAGTTGACATACATCATCTGAGATCTCATTAAAATGCAAATTCTGGTTAAGCAGATCTGGGTTGGGGCCTGAAATCTGTTATTTTTAATGAGCTCCCAACTAATGTTAATTCTCTTTGTCCCTGGATTACACTTTGAGTAACAAGATGTGATAACTAGAAGAGCAGACGTGAGTTTGATTAAAATACATTAAACTGTATTTTTTCTTTTGCAGGTATCTATAGCAGGACAACCAGCAGGAGTAGAATCTGCCAGAGTTAGAATTCGGGTAACTATATATTACTCTTTCATATCGTAAATCCATGTCAGCAACAGTTGCATTATAAGGCTTTAAAATATCAGACTTTACCATTTTATAACCAAATCATATTTTCTAAGTAGGCAATAGTGGCAATAGTTGTTTTCATGTGCTTTATGGCATCCACTACCTTATTTTTTACTGTAGATATTTTATTATCAGTATTTTAAAAATGAAGTTCTATGTTAACTCATAAACAGTTTTCTATTGAAAATGTTTCTCCGAGATGTTTTGAATTCATCTGACTCAGTTTCCCTTATGATTTTTCAATGGTCCTATAGAGGCTTGAAGAAAAATGCCACAGTTAATGTGAGTCACAAGCTCTAAGGTTTCATAAAAGGTTTCTTCCGTTTAAAATATTGTATATAGTCAACCTAAGCTTATGTCTACCATCAAAGCAATTTATGTTTTTAAATCCATCTTCAGAAAAGAACAACTGAATCATAATGCTTTAACTGTCTGCTTTGGGTTCTCATAATTTTGTTTTAGGAGCTGCTTCCTTTGGTGCTGATGTTTGAGTTACCAATTGCTGGAATTCTTCAACCAGTTCCCGATCCTAATTCCCCCTCTATTCAGCACATATCACAAACGTACAACATATCAGTATCATTTAAACAGCGTTCCCGAATGTATGGTGCTACTGTCATAGTACGAGGGTCTCAGAATAACACTAGTGCTGTGAAGGTAAATTACTTAGATTATTCCCATTATTATAAAATTATAAATCATGCAAGTTTTATTTTTAAAGGATATAAGACTAATTTGTTTTCCAGAATTTTCCTTTGTGTTACATTTGGATTTATAGAATGTGCTATATTTTTCCATAGCTGATAGAAGTGCAGTAGGCTCTTATCTTACACGTGGGCAGCTATGCTTTATATGATATTTTCCCTCCCATCCTTTCTACCAGGAAGGAACTGCCATGCTGTTAGAACATCTTGCTGGGAGCTTAGCATCCGCTATTCCTGTGAGCACGCAATTAGACATTGCAGCCCAACATCATCTCTTTATGATGGGTCGAAATGGGAGCAACATCAAACATATCATGCAGAGAACGGGTGCTCAAATCCACTTTCCTGATCCCAGTAATCCACAGAAGAAATCCACCGTCTACCTCCAGGGCACCATTGAGTCTGTTTGTCTTGCAAGGCAATATCTCATGGTAAGGTTCCTGAAATTAGTGTTGTAATTTTTTATTTAACTTCTTTGGATACAGGTTTGTTGTTGTACTACTTACTCTGCTAATTTGATGTTTAAGAAAGCACTTTGGAAGGCTGGTCAAATAGAATAGTTTCTTGGTACAAGGAATTAAAGAATAAGGTTCATGGCTCCTCAGTAGGCTCAATTTCATTATGTAGGTGATTTTCTTACAGTGTTATTTTTATCTTAGTCTGAACACAGAAAAGATCACAATGAAATAATTGACTATGTTTTATGGCATAGATGGTAGATGATTATTTCGTGACATGTAGTTCTGGTACACCTTTTCACTTGACAAAAATTTCTTCTGTTGAAGCAGAAAAATAAAAATACTACTTAAGTTTCATCCTCAAAGACACCATGTTTGGAAACCTGGCACCCTTGTACATTTTATAAATTTCTGATATTATTAAATACAATTAATTTAAGCCATGAATTTTAGTGTTACTTATTGAAGAAAAACAACAGAGCTATATTAATTCATACTGCTTCTGATTTGTAATTTACAGTATTTCTCTTCTTATGTAGGTTAATGTTTAGTAACAAAATGGATGAATACAATATCCTTGTTAACATCTGCACAGTTTTCTCTTGTTCATTGCCCAGCATTTAGCAATATTTGAATTAGTAAGCACTAGGTGACCTTTGCTGCTATTAACTTGCCAAATTCATTTTTGAGAGACTTTCAGAGAATCCAGATTTGTATTGTTGATGCCATTTCACTGACAGATGAAAACTTGTTATATAATCACTTAGGATTATAATGTACTTTAAGAAATTTATGTTTTTAAATATATTTTTGTACAAGTTTGTTTTATCAGCTAATTTTTAATATATTACTCATCAGGTAGCATATTCATATCTAAAAATTGTTATCATTACTCTTCAAATTTTCTTCTTTTCAAGTTCTCTAGATTTTTTTTTTTTAGTTCAGTGAAAGTTTTCAAGCATTCTGTGCGGTTATGATTCACATTCATACTTCAGTTACACCTATGATTGCACAAGATTGGAAGAAGAGAGGGAAAAATTAAAAAGGTTCACCTGTATTTTAGTTACCTTTTTATTTAGTACCATCCTGAAAAATACTTTTATCCATGAGCAAAAAATTTAAAATTTGTTCCAATTAGTTATACATGCATTTTGACACATCATACATAAATGGAGATAACTTCTCATTCTTCTGGTTGTACATGATGTGGAATTACACTGGTCATGCAGTCACATATGCACATAGAGTAATAATGTCCAATTCATTCTACTATCTTTACTATCCCCATACACCCTCCCCTTTCTTTACTCCCCTCTGCCTAATCCAAAATACCTCTATTCTTCCCTAGCCACCCCCAACCCCATCTTACTGTAAATTAGCATCTGCATATCAGAGAAAACATTTGGCCTTTGGTTTTATGGGACTGGCTTATTTCACTTAGCATAATATTCTCCAGCTCCATCCATTTACCCTGTAAATGCCATTATTTCATTCCTCTTTAAGGCTGAGTAATATTCCATTGTTTATATGCCACATTTTCTTTGTTGATCTGTTGAAGGGCATTTAGGTTGGTTCCACAATTTGGCTATTGTGACTGAGCTGCTATGAACATTGATGTGTCTATGTTACTGTAGTATGCTGGTTTTAAGTCTTTTGGGTATAAATTGAGGAATGGGATAGCTGAGTCAAATGGTGGTTCCATTCCAAGTTTTCTAAGGAATCTCCATATTGATCTCCATAATGCTTGCCCCAATTTTCAGTCCCACCAGCAGTGTATGAGTGAAACTTTTCCCCCACATCCTCACCAACATTTTTTTCTCGATAATTGCCATTCTGACTCGAGTGAGATGAAATCTCGGTGTAGTTTTGATTTGCATTTTTCTAATTGCTCTAGATGTTGAACATTTTTTTCATATATTTGTTGATGGATTGTATTTCTTCTTTTTTGAAGTGTCTGTTCAATTCCTTAGCCCATTTATTGATTGGGTTACTTGTTTTACTTGGCATTGGGTATTTTGAGTTCTTTATGTAATCTGGAGATTAATGCTCTGAGTTGCATGTGGTAAAAATTTTCTTTAATCCTCTACGTTTAACATTAGCTTCTGTTGGTATATGTGTACCAAATCCTGTAACCAGCAGGCTAGCGCTGAATGGTAACCTGCACATCAGAAAACAAAGGTTACATAGTTCCTAAACTCCTTAGATTAGGGGCCAGAAGGAAAGCATCAGAGGAAAAGAAGTCTAAATAAAACTGCAGTGCTAAATTGGGAACTGTTGAAGGAGGAACAGCAGTTACAGTTCACTACAGGAAGGAGACAGGCAAGTAGCTGTAGCAGAAGGCAAGTAGGACTTGGTTGGTAAAGAAGCCTCTGATTCCAGCAGCTTGGGAGGCTGAGGCAGGAGGATTACAAGTTTAAAGCCAGCTTCCACAAAAGTGAGGCGCTAAACAACTCAGTGAGACCCTGCCTCTAAATAAAATACAAAATAGGGCTGGGGATGGGGCTCAGTGGTTGAGTGCTCCTGAGTTCAATCCCCAACACCCCCCCCCCCCCCCCCCCAAAAAAAAAAGAAGCATCCTCTGATGAGTTAAGATTCCAAAACAAAGGATCTGTTGAAGGGATAATGACAAACTACCCGGGCCTGGAGAAAGGGGCAGACTTGGAGGCAGGACAAGCAAGGCCAGACTCAAAATGTGGGGCTCTTTTAAGTGCCAGTGCTTGTTTAGCTTTCAGGATGCAGTAAAAGTCCCCACTTTTATGTTGTTGAGCCAAGACATAAGATTAGTACCCTTGATGTGGCTGAGAATCTCATTTCTGCCTCCCCTAACAAAACTAAAGTCAGAGAATGAAGGAATTTTCCAAAGTGGAGAGTGGGTAAAAATAAATAAATAAATAAACAAACAAACAAACAAATAAATAAATAAATAAAATTCAGGGCCCAAACCAGGAACTTAAGGTCTATAATTTTGTAATCCAAAAAATAATTTCCTCCCCCTCAACATTATTCCCACACTAGCCCTCCAAACTATGTGAAGATATATAATTTAGCTTTAATACTTTGGTTTATTCTTTAAATCTATAAAATATTGCATTCTTTGTAGGCATGTTGAATAATCAGGTTTTGAAATTATTAACTCCTACACATTCTATTGTGATATTTTCTAGGGTTGTCTTCCTCTTGTGCTGATGTTTGATATGAAGGAAGAAATTGAAGTAGACCCACAGTTCATTGCTCAGTTGATGGAACAGCTTGATGTCTTTATCAGCATTAAACCAAAGCCAAAGCAGCCTAGCAAGGTTGGTTCAGTCTGGATCCAGGGAGTCATTCTGTATAGTTTTATTTTGCATACAAGTGTGTATTTAAATTTACTTGGAACTAATACTCTCATATGTGTTATTATCTACGTAGTGATAACAATATTGATTTGTAACACCATTATTGGTCATTATTTTCTTTATGTATTTGTTGGTTTTTATAGTCCATTTTTTGTAACCATTATTTTTCTATAAATACATGTGAAGGAAAGAGAAAACCCTTAGCTTGCAATCTGGTAACTTTAAAGCGTTACATAGTTGCCATAGTTGGTAAGACTGTGTGATTGTGTGTGTGTGTGTGTGTGCGCACGTGCGTGTACATATCCAAAGTGCGCGTGCGTGTACATATCCAAAGCAATTAAAAAATAAGAGCATTTATTATATGCCAGCCACAGTGCCAGCCCTAACGATTTAAAGAACACTTGCCATTCTTTTTGATAAAGACTTTAACAAGAGTCTTTAGCCTTCTTGTAACCTTTTCTCTAAGATGTTGCAAAAACTCTGTAATTTCATATAGGGTAAAAATTTAATGAAAAAAATGTTACACTTAAGTGCTAGTGAGAATGTGAGAAAACAGCAGTGTTCCTACATTAATGTGAAAATTAGCAGAGCCATTTGCAGAACAATTTGAGACCACCTGATCATACTCAGAATACTGATTCCTACTTGCAGCCATTGTACCTCTGGTTGCACACACTGAAGACACATTTACACCAGAAGTCAAATAAAATGATGCTGATTGAAAAAAAATCACAAATTGCACGACAGCAGGTACTAAATGGTACATGGTTCTTGCATGAATGTGCATGTATTATTTTCTAAAGTGCAAAGCATCACCTGGAAGGGTCACAGCAAATTCACAATGAGATGCCTTTGGACTAGGAGCTAGAAGAATGGAATTATGAAACAAGGGGAAGGAATGCTGTGTGCAGTTTCAACAGTCAGAAACAAATAAGTTTTATTTAGGGTGCTAAATACAGAGATGCTGTATCAACTTTGGTTTTCTATATTTTAAAGAAATATCCTGATAAAAGGATTTATAAAATGTAACTGTGTTAAGTTTATGGAAAGTTTAGAAAAAAAAATTTAATTCCTGAACTGAATTGAGTTCCCTAACTTACTATAATAGATAACACCAAATGGTTGTGCCTTCCAGTTTTTAATTTCTAAACTGTAAACATTATCATATATGTATAATTGTTTGTATATAATATATATTGTGTAATTTTGTATATATAAATACTATAATATTTATTATCCAACTGAAGAAAAATAATCATACCTTCTTCAAAATAAAACTTTAGAGAAAAAGCCCTGATTCTAAGTGAACTTGATATAGTGAGTTGACATTTAGATAACAGGACATTAATTTTATGTATTGTGAAGCTTTATGCTTGACTGATATGAGTTAACTAGAATTAGTAGAGCTACCAGGACTAAAAGGTAAAGGCTTGAAGAGATATTCAAGGACGTGTGCTTATAAAGATGGACAGGCACAAGAATTCCAGGAGTTCAGGAAGAAATGGGCAGGTATCAGGGAAAAATAGATTGCCAATCAGAACTTGGAAACCTTACAGCATCCCCTGGCCATTTAATTTCACCTGCCTGGCCTGACTCCAACTACTGCTTTAACTACTTTCTTAGCCACAAATTTTCTTTACTCTCTGTTGGAACCTTTCCCCTTTGGGTTCACATTTCCAATTGTCTAGATGAGTCCATTGAAGGGGAAGAAAGATTTGTAATTTTCTTTTACCATGAGCTCAGTGAGGGGGAGTGGTACCTCAAGGTCAGTCAGCTAATCGACTATAAATATCAGACATAAGTGACTATGGTTATGCAGTCTGTATGTTGTGACAAGTTGGACTTGGTTTGTAAAGATAAGGTAAAGCCGGGAGAGCTTTAAGGTAAAGAGAAGAGGCTGTGGAGAGGGTCTGGAGTTCCAGTCCTCTTGCTGTCCTCTGCAGCTGTGCCATGACCTTCACCAATTCACTTAACACATTGAATGTGAACAATGATCACACCTCATAAGGTTTTGGTGAGAACTGGAACATTTGTGCAGCTTCCATCAGTGCCCGGAACACAGGACACATGCAATAAAGGGTAACGAACATTTTCAGCTTTACCAAAAGTTAAGAAATGAGTGTTTAGGATTTGCAGTTGATTTTAAAGTGGCATCAACATATCCCCTGATTGGAATTATTAGCATACTCACTTTCCACCTTCCCTTCCCCCATTCATTGTAGACTTCTTGCATGTCACTTTTTTTCCCCCCATTATGTGTTTTCATAGTCTGTGATTGTGAAAAGTGTTGAGCGAAATGCCTTAAATATGTATGAAGCAAGGAAATGTCTCCTCGGACTTGAAAGCAGTGGGGTTACCATAGCAACCAGTTCATCCCCAGCATCGTGCCCTGCCGGCCTGGCATGTCCCAGCCTGGATATCTTAGCTTCAGCAGGCCTCGGACTCACTGGACTAGGTATAAAATTTATTATTACAGTGCTTCTCAGTCACTGGGGAAATGCTTATCTGGTTCCCTTTCTTTCTACCATTTGGGTTTACGTTTAAATGCTGTTTTTAATTTCTTCTTCTTTAGGCCCTAAGATCAGGTGAAAAGTAACAAAACTCAAATCGGACTGTTTTGGGGTTTTTGTTGTTTTTTTTATTGGTAGGATCTGTGGATTGTGGTACCCAGATTCTTCCTGTGTTGGCATAAATAATCAAGGTCTGACTTTTATTTTCAGTGACTGTTTGTTCTTCTAAATTAAGAATGCTATTGAGATTGAAGTGAGCAGGCTCACTATAATTTATGTGTTTGTTCTCTCTTGCATCTGTAATATTGCCATCAGTCCCTAGAGATAAAGATTATCCAGTTTGCTTTTGAAAAAATAATTGCAAATCTGTATGAGAGGTGGGGAAAGTGGAAGGAGAAAGCAATCAGAGCTGTACCCACAGTAGTTAGGCCTGCCAAGCCAGACACAAAGGGATCCTAGCCACCAAGGGATGCAAATGGACCTGTATCTACAGCAAGCAATAGAAAAGTAAATGAACAATCTCTGTTGGTGTTTTGGTTCATTAAGAAAGCAGGGTGAGCCACCTAATCGTCATAGTGGTATTTATGGCCTCATCTGTGGATTGCAATCTTACAGGCTGACTTCATTTGCTCCATTATAGTTATGCTAGGTTCACTGCTTTCTTGCACATTTCCCAGTTGTCTTTTATATGAAATGCTAGTACAGTAACCCCAGTAAATCATTCCATTCAGTGCTGGTTTGAGGCAGAAAAAACATTCTCGGCAATCTTTAAAATATTTTTCTAATACTTTTTTTTGCTTTTAAAAAAATGTAATCTGATAATAATATGATTATGAATCCAAGGAGCCATTCTTAGACACTATTAAAAATAAAGAGGTTTTTTTTTTCCCCTTTGTCTCTCACCTGCCAAAGTTATTCCTTCCACAGGGACCTGAACAGTCATAATAACATAGCAATGCCTATGAACCAGGAAATGCCAGTCAGGTAACTTAGCAGGAACCAAATTTATCCTGCTCTAGTGAAAAGGTGAGCAAAGAACAGAGTTACTGAATTTTAAAAATGTATTCATGGCTATACCCATTCTGTAATACTTCTACTTTATATGTATTCCTAGAAACTTACACAAATGCATATTTTATTTTCGAACACATTTCAAATAACAGAAGCAAAACCTCATTTATTTAAGTATCAGATTCTTAAAACAAAAACAAAAAAAATTTTTTTCTAAGGAAAGGTTTCATTATTGGGATGACACTGAAAGAAGTCATGGTCATGTATATGTTCTGACATACATATAAGAACTGTTCAGATAGCTCTCTGCCTATTTACAAAGGTGCCAAGTGGACCCATTCTACCACAGGAAAGCTTTCCCTAGTTACTGCTAACTATGAGTGCTTTGAAAAGCATTTGTTTGGAAGCAGATGACAAGTGAGGTATGCAGAGAAATAAAAATGCATCCCCATTTGCTCATCCTCACTGGCTGATAAAAATGGAAAGCCCCTGGTGGTGCTCAGTGACCCTGACTGCTGTCCTGGTTTGGGCATATCTGTCTTCCTTTTTCTGCCAGCATCTATTTGTGGGTTAGCCGGTTTCTGTGTTGGAGCTGTGTAAAGAAATATTTCATGTAGATATTTGAAAGAAAATCCATCACCCATATTTTGTATTTAGAAAATATCAGTTCATATTGACATGCATTCCAGATGGCAACATGGGTGCTATCTTTATTGAGAAATCTTGAATTCATGTGTATTAACTTTACATTCATTTATTGCAGGTCTTCTGGGGCCAACCACCTTATCGCTAAACACTTCAACAAACCCGAACTCACTCCTGAATGCTCTTAATAGCTCAGTCAGTCCCTTGCAAAGTCCAAGTTCTGGCACGCCCAGCCCCACGTTATGGGCACCCCCACTTGCTAATACTTCAAGTGCCACAGGTCAGTATCATACAAGTGTAATCAAAGGCATGTATTCTTAAGTGTTATCAGTTTAATTTACAAATGATTCAGTTTCTGTAGGGAAAAACTATGGTTCAGACTCCACTCCAACAAAACAGGAATTCCCTGATGTGTAAATTAGTTCAAATGAAACACAACAAAGCAATGAGTTTTTCATAAAAATAAAATATAATTTTCAAACGGGATAAGCAGATTAGGGAAAAGGGCTTGATGTGCAGGGAGCAGTGACCAAGGCATGGCCAGGCTGACAATCTGGTGATCGGAAAACAGGCTTTGTGCTCCCTTATTTCCTCATTTGTATAGAGAGGAGCTTGGAATAAACATTCTCAAAGGTGTTGCTTTAACATTCTTGTATGTTTTCACAGTAATGTTAAATCTATAGAGAGATTAAAATAGAATTATCTTCTAAATTGTCAGTAAAAAATATTTAATTATTGTTACTGAAAATAGCAGTAGTTCATGAATTTTTTTCTTGTCTAAAATCTGTCTTCATGAAATGTTACCATAGGTTTCTCTGCCATACCACACCTTATGATCCCATCTACCGCGCAAGCCACATTAACCAATATTTTATTATCTGGAGTGCCCACCTATGGGCACACAGCTCCATCACCCCCTCCTGGCTTGACTCCTGTTGATGTTCATATCAACAGTATGCAGACAGAAGGCAAAAAAATCACCGCTTCTTTAAATGGACATGCACAGGTAATGCCCTTCTGTTGCAGTGGTATCATCTGCACTGTTTTAAGAGAAAAGCTGCTTGTAACATGCTTTAATCTTTACCTAAAATGATTTTTAAATTGTAAATTCATGACCTTAACTGTATATTATTTTCTATTATTTCAGTCTCCAAATATAAAATATGGTGCAATATCAACTTCATCACTTGGAGAAAAAGTGCTAAGTGGGAATCATGGCGATCCATCCATCCAGACAACTGGGTCTGACCAGGCTTCTCCCAAATCAAATCCTTCAGAAGGTCAGGAACTGTAACTTTTCTCCTGAATGTCAGTCTGGTTTGTTACTCTGATAAAGGGGATTGTGGAGAGTCTGTGCAGTGATTTAGAGTTGGTTTTGCTAACCAACTGTGACTCACCTTAGCTATGTGCAAAGGGAATATCTTGAACGAATTGCCAATGAGCATGGTGAGAAGTTTACAGAAAACCACTTTCCACAGAAATATCACTTTCCCCTTACATTGGACCTTCCTAAGTTAATTTACCTGTGTAACAAGAAAGCATCAACAAACTAAACGCTTTTATAGAAATATATCTCCCTTAAGTTGGAGTGTCTTCTTGTAGCTCCCTTACCCTGCTAACACTCTTTTAAAAATATTTTTAAATTGAGTTTTTGTGAAGCCTGAATTTGTTGAGGCATCCTCTATTCAGCTGAGAACCTTTATGCCTTTATCAGGCTAACAATGTCTCTGTAGAATTGGGTTCTAATTTTTTTTTCCCCATTGCAGATAATAATGAGCTGTAATGTGATGTTGTTTAGATTTTTCACTTTTTTCTTCTCCCCTGCAGGTTGTAATGATGCTTTTGTTGAAGTAGGCATGCCTCGAAGTCCTTCCCATTCTGGAAATACTGGTGACTTAAAACAGATGATGGGTCACTCCAAGGTTTCCTGTGCCAAGAGGCAGACAGTAGAGCTATTGCAAGGCACGAAAAACTCACACTTACAGTATGTATTTTAATCTTAAAAGCCTTGATTCTGTGAAAGATAATATGTAGCTGACTGAACTTGTTTTAACTTGATGGTTAGCACTCTGGTTCAGGTCAGGTCAGGTCTTTTTTCATTGCTCTTCATAATAATCATTTCAATTTTTTTTTTTGCGGGGGGGCGGGCACTGGGGTTTGAACCCTGGGCCTTGTGCATGCTAGTCAAGTGCTCTGCCACCCTAAGCCATATCCCTTGTACTTTTAAGGGGTGATATCTGGGAATTTTTATGCTTGCCCATGTTCTTTATAATTTCTTCTCCATATAGTCAGTTGGTCATATATATGTCCTCTAAACCACCTATATGGCTCAGAAACGAACAATCTTTCTGCTTTTTTTTTTAAAGAATTTTTTTTAAATGGATCTTATTTTATTTTATTTATTTATATGTGGTGCTGAGGATCGAACCCAGGGCCTCACACATGCCAGGCAAGTGCTCTACCACTGAGCCACAACTCCAGCCCCTCTTTCTGCTTTTTAGTAATCACTTGGGACAGTTTTTTTCCTCCTTGATTTTTACTGTTAGAGGTTTTCCTACAGTTAACTCCCTTTCAGTAGGGAGTTCTTTCTTAAGCTGTGGCTCCCCTTGTCCAAGGTAACCAATGGAACTTTTCAATAAGTGCTTCACAGTATCATGAATCATGACAAGTCACATTGAGTACAAATGCGTGAATTGTGTTGACTGTGAAGCTCCCTGACCATGGCATAGTTGCCAGTGTACCATCTTTGCTCCATTTCCTTTGTCCTTCGTCTATTTCCTTTTTCCTTGCTGTATTTCTATTTTTCTGTTTATCTCCTTTCTTTTGTTGTTCTCCCACCCATCCCCATCCAATTGATTTCCTCTACTGCCTCCTTAGTTCCTTATATATTTTTATGCAAAGATTAGCATAAAAGTTTTTATTTCCATCCTCTCACTAAAAACCATTTTGCTCTGTGAACTCTGGGTCTCAATTTACCCAACTATGTTTTATCTGTTTTTCTTTTAATAAACCAAGTTAATGTTCTTCAATATAGGTCAGAAAAACGATTTTGCTTTCTTTTTAGATTGAAGCAGTTGAAGCATATGTTTATTCCTTTCATCACTGACTGTGTTCTGCACCTTCTTCACATCTCCCATCTGGATTAAGCTGCGTCCTCCAGAATTGTCTCCCTCTACTCATCTCTCATCAGTTTCATCTATCCTTGATTTTGCTCTAGTGATTTTTTTTTAATCTAAATCTTATCACATTGTGGCTTACAGAGCCTCTGGGGTCTGCAGTGCCTGTTTCCTTTCCTTATGCTCTTCCCTCCCAGTGCTCTTTCTCCTGGCCTTTGACACCAGTGATCTTGCAACGCCCTTAATTCCCAGTTCAAATGTTCTCTGTGAAGCTTCTGTCAGCTTTTGTCCAGCAAAGTTCATTGTTCTTCCTTTTGAACTTCAATCACCCTTTCTAAATCCCTCTAAGTTCCCTTGGCACAACTGATAGTTGAATGAATAAAACTATGAAGACATGATGAGCAAATCGGTTCTTTGATTGATTCCTATTTTATCTGAGACTAATGGTGCACTTGGATTTGAACTTGAGGTTCATGTACTCTACATTATCATGTGTTGTATTTCAGCTGTTGCCCGTTATAAGAAGCATTTTCATGCTCTACCTATACCCCTAATTAGGTTTTGGAAAATATTTCTTATTTATCTGCTACCCTTATTTGTTACCAGTGTCATAGGCACCGTACACACTAATGATGTCAGATTTATTCATCTCTGTTTAGGCTTTGTACATGTGAGTCATTGATATCTCCTTGATGTGTAAACATGAAAAATCTTGTCTTATGTCTGTTTTCTCTCTACCATATGTTGTATAGCATAGATAGGACATAGAATGTGTGTATTATGAAACAGTTTGAAGCTCTAGTTCTAGAGTCAGAGTGCCCGAATTCATATTCCAACTCTACCATTTACATTGGAGGTGTGACCTTGAACAAGGTACTTCCCTCATCTGTTAAATGAGAATGACAATAGAACTTACATCACAGCATCCTTGTGAGGATTTTTTGAGTTAATACGTGTAAATAATTGATGAAGGTAAATTTGCCCAGTAAATGTGATACCTAAGAAGTACTTCAGTACATTTGTCTGTATGGTAGAGTGCTAAATTACAAACTCTTTTTCACAGCAGCACTGACAGGTTGCTCTCAGACCCTGAACTGAGTACTGCAGAAAGCCCTGTAGCTGATAAGAAGGCTCCAGGAAGTGAACGTGCAGCAGAGAGGGCAGCAGCTGCCCAGCAAAACTCTGAAAGGGCCCGCCTTGCCCCACGTCCATCATATATCAACATGCAGGTAATGGAGAAAAGCAGAAAAGTCATTCAAATGTAGGGTGCTCAGGTGAGGGCATGAAGAATTCACTGAGTATTTAGCAGTGAGTAGTACAGAAACTGGCTTTTTCTTCTCTGCTCTGGTCAAAGTGAAATTTAAATATATGTCTGATACGTAGGAATTGGTTTTACTATTAACATTAAACATGAAACAGGATTTAGCTTAAGTGAGAAGAATTCTTTAAAATATAATATTAAAAATATAATATTGGGGCTGGGGATGTGGCTCAAGTGGTAGCGAGCTCGCCTGGCATGCGTGCGGCCCGGGGTTCGATCCTCAGCACCACATACAAACAAAGATGTTGTGTCTGCTGAAAACTAAAAAATAAGTATTTAAAAATTCTCTCTCTCTCTCTCTCTCACTCTCTTTTTTAAAAAAATATAATATTAAAATGGCATAAAATGATGTGTGTCACTGCGCCTTATGCAAATAACATCATTCATCTGTGTTCTGGAAAAAAATTTAGATGAATGCAAGAGATGTATTTTCAAATATTACCATATCATGACATTGTTTTGGATACACAGATCCAATATTCTTCCATCTGTGAAAATAGAGATGGTAAATTTGGTGCCATTTTGAGATGGTTATGAAAATAACTAATGTAAAATTTTGTTTTGTTTCGTTTTGGGTACCAGGGATTGAACTCAGGGGCACTCAACCACTGAGTCCCATCCCCAGCTCTATTTTGTATTTTATTTAGAGACAGGGTTTCACTGAGTTGCTTAGCACCTCGATTTTGCCGAGGTTGGCTTTGAACTCATGATCCTCCTGCCTCAGCCTCCCAAGCCGCTGGGATTATAGGTGTGTGCCATCATGCCTAGCCTATTGTGAAGTTTTTAGTTCCTTGAAAGTAGATGCGATATTATTGATGATTGTGTTGGTTCATAACTTTTCTTTTGGTACTGGGGATTGAACCCAGAGGCACTTAACCACTGAACCATGACCCCAGCCCTTTTTATTTTTTATTTTGAGACAAGGTCTCAGTAAATTGCGTAGGGCCTCACTGAGTTGCTGAGGCTGGCTTTGAATTTGCTAATTTCCTGCTTCAGCCTTCCTGGAATTATAGGTGTGTGCCACCATACCCAGCTGGTTCACAGATTTTTATGTTTAAAGCAACTTCCTCAACAGGACTTTTCTGTATATTCATTTTCAAAGATTTAGGTTAGTTACTCAAAATAGATATCTGACCATGAAATTCAGAAATCTGATTTCCATATAGATCACAATATGAAAGACAATGATTTTTTTCCTGTGGGCTTTTAAAAATTTCTGTACATATTCTAGTTTTCAGTATCAGTTATTGGGTAGACTCACTTCATAGTAGGGATTTGTCTCACTCGATCCCCCCACCTCCATAAAAGATGAAAATCTTTTTTACAAAATCCTAGAAACAGAAACACTGCCATAGATACACATGTAAGAGAAATTAATTCATGAAACTAAGTTATAGTACAAAGTCCCAAAGTGAGCTCTAATTTAGTCCTCCTCATCTTTGTTTTAATCCTTTGCATTTGAACATTTTCATGAATTTGTAGGTGATTAATATTATAAAAACCTTGGCCTTCATAATGTGTCAGTGTTTAAAAAAAAGACATTTACCTCACTTTGTGTGGTGAATTTATTTTTGGTTAGCATAGATTAAAATTCTCCCATTTGAGACGTATCAATTCCCCTTTATCATTCCTTTGTGTTTTTTGCTTATATTGTGGTTCTTCTTTGCTATCAGTTTTATATACCTCAGTGGACCAATTTTATGGCTGTTTCTTTTAGAATGGATGAGAGGGTTGTTCTTGGTGACATCATTTCCACTTAAATAGAATAGATGTACTTATGCCATTAGTGAATAGCTGATTCTCAGATCACTAGAAAATCAGTGATAATAGTCACTGAGCATTGATAGGAGAAAGATCAAAGATTTCCCTGTTCTCTGTGACTAAAGATATATCCGTCTTCCGACTACTCTTGAGTGCCATGTTGCTAGCTCTCTCTTCACACTTACCGTACTTTCCATTTTTTTACAGTTATTCCTCTTACTCAACCCTCCTAAGACTGTAGGTCATTGAGGCTGTGGATTATTTTGTATTCATTATTCTTCTATAAAGCTCAGGACACTCTCTTTAACCACTAGGTACTCAGAATTCATTGAACAAGTGAATTTAGGTCTTTACTACACCTTGCCCTTGGACATTAATAATTAAAAGGTGATTTTAGACTTCTCGTGCCATTTTAGAGCTAGCATTTAAAAAATGTCCTCATAGTGTTATCTAAAAATCTGTCTCTCCTGATTTATTGTCATCTTCTTAAAATTCCAACACCTTCATACTGTTTGTTTGGAACAGCCTGTTGACTTCGATCACCCCCCCTCGTCTCAGTATTGTTCAGAGCACATTTCACTCTCAGAAGCATCCTGGTTCAGACCGTGAATTACATGGACACCTACCATGACACAGTCTTCCTGGGAGAAGAGTCAAAGTGCTCCTGCCATTTGGTTCTTGATCTTTCTGGTGGTGGGCCTTTGAGAACCTATAAATCAAGTCTTAGCAAGTTCCTAATTCGGGGAGTTGAGAACACTAGGTTAGCATTTGAGATGTACCTCTATCTGTACTACTGTCCTTAGAAAGACCTTTCTTGGTCTCTGCATAGATCTGACTCCATCACAGTGACTCATTCAATGTTAGTGGAGTGCATGTATGGTACCTTCCTAGTCCTGCACCCCCAAAACAAAACAAAGAACCAAGACGGTAACTAGGTTAAATTAGTTAATGTTATATATTAACATTATAGACTGTAATGGTTATAGACCATTTTCATTCACCTCACTTCAAAAGCAAAGACTATGCCATTTAGGTTAATAACTTCTTAAGTTGTATTGACATCACACAACCTCAGATCATACTTACCTAGATAAAGAGGGGATTTTGAAACAGAAAGGAGGATAGTAGGTACCTGATAGCGTTTTGGTAATGTGTTAATCTGAAACTTAGCAAAATTGATATTAGGTTATTCATGATAGTTTAGCATATAGTGGTCCTGGTGTGCTAGATATTCTTAGTGAATAGGATTTTTTTCTTTTTCAAGGAAAAATTCTACCTCTGTCACTGCTATGACTTCAAGTAAAAAATGGTAATTTGTTACTCTAACTAGTTAGTTTTGAACAGCATGTTTAGATTTATCATGCCTGCATTGGATTTCTGTCATCCCATGGTGCAGAGCTTAGCATATGTTTTAGGGGATATAGTCAAAACCTTTGCTATGTATCCATAGAGTGTTTGCATGGCATTTGGAAAAATTGGTAATAAAAACATTTTCTCTGCTTCATTTTCAGGCATTTGATTATGAACAAAAGAAGCTATTAGCAACCAAAGGTAAATGATGTACTAATGATTTGTACTTTGATTGTTTTTTAGTATGCTCAATAAATGGTTTTTCAAAGTTCATGGTGAATTGAGAAACTGGTCACTCATAAAAAGAAACCCAAAATGTTTGGGTTCAAGTTGTTTAAATTCTGTTGAACTTGAATATATTTTCTTGAATATATTACCATTTCATCATTAGAAGTTGTGTAGCCCCCCCCCCCTGTTTTTCATTTATCATAACTTTGGGTGTTATGTTTTATTAGGGTATTTTAGGCATTTATATTTTTTTTTATTAAGAAATAATCATTCAGGGACTGGGGTTGTGGCTCAGTGGTAGAGTCCTCGCCTAGCACACAGGAGGCGCTGGGTTCAAACCTCAGCACCACATGAAAATGAAATAAAGATATTGTATCCATCTACAACTACAAATAAAAAAATGTTAAAAAAGAAAAAAACATTCAGTTATCATTCCTTCAACATATCAAAGAAACAAAGCTCAACATTCATATTTTATTTAAGAAATACATTAAACTAGGGCTGGGGATATAGCTCAGTTGGTAGAATGCTTGCCTTGTATGCACAAGACCCTGGGTTCAATCCCCAGCACCACAAAAAAAAAAAAGAAACCTCACTGAGAATTTGTCTTATATTCTGTTTTCTAAAGCTATGTTAAAGAAACCAGTGGTGACAGAGGTCAGAACACCTACAAATACCTGGAGTGGCCTAGGGTTTTCTAAATCCATGCCGGCTGAAACTATCAAGGAGCTGAGAAGAGCCAACCATGTGTCCTATAAGCCCACAATGATGACCACGTATGAGGTTTGTAGTCAAGCTCTACCCATTGTGCCTGTCTGCTCTCAGCAGAAGGGGTTGGTCCTCCCCTCCCTGTGTTCTTTATAGACATCAGGAAAAAATATTAATGGTCATGTGTTTTTATTTCTATCTTATAAATGTATTGTTATAAAATTGATGCATTCCTACATATTATGGTTTTTATCTGCCTTCTCTCAAAGTTGTTGATACTCTATTAATGGAGATGTAAATTTGGTTAAGTGTGTTTTTGTTAGGGGAGAGGTATCATAAGTGACCGTAGGACTAAGATGAAGTAAAGGGCAGATGTAATATTCCATAAAAATGAATAAAGAGGCCTTTGTCTAAGAGTATCACTAGCAAGGCCACCATAGGGGGAAAAGGCAAATATTCAACCAAAACAGGTTTTCAGATATGAGTTAAAAATTCTCTGTTCAGATGAGCCAAGAACACAGCAGGAAATAACTCAAACAAGAGCTCCAAAATTTTTATGTTTCCCAGATGTTGGCTGCACTACTCCGGGTGAGACCGGGAAGCTGGCATTCCTAGCATGTGGAGGAGGGTCCAGAGTTCCATACTCCTCAGCCAGGCTTCATGTGACTCACTACGCAGGCCTTTTCCATTTACGAGTGTCAGGTTTTGGCATGAGGCTTTGGGCGTGGGGGTGGGGCTGGAGAGTGAGCCCCCACAATACACACATGATACTGGGGGGCTGCAAACCCAAACGTGGATGAAAGTGATTAATCCAAGAAACATGGTGTTCAGCTGGAGCCCTGCACAAGGAAAAACAAATACTGGTTAACGGTTTCATAATTGTTAGTCTAATAACTAGCACTTGTAGATTGCCCTTCTTTTCTCCACCCGTTTTCTTTGTAATAAATTAGACTGTTGGCGAAAGGCAAAAAAAGCAAACATGCTGTTTTATTATTTTTCTCTTTGAGTAAGTCAAAAAGAAAATACTATTGAAATTCTAAAAAGAATTGTTTCCTGTGAACTTCATTGTTAGCGCTGCAGTAGCCACATGGAGGACTGTATTTAAAGACTGAGGTGACCTTCAGCAGTGAGAATGTAGGAACCATTATGAAAAATTGCGAGGCTGTGGGAGGTACTCCTCTTGCTGCCATTAGAGCCGAGAAAAAATAAACATCTCCTTTTGTTACCAGAAACCTTAAAACTGCTGTGCTAATCCTTAGACTTCGAACTGGTGCACCCTATGGTTGTCCACTCCACACACCCTTGCCTTGGCAGAGTGAAGTGCTAAGTTGATGATTGTGTTTCTGTAGTTTCAGAGATGAAATATTTGACTTTAGAAATGTGCATTCAGTTCTTCTAAAACCAACAGTATTACAAGTTGAAAAGGACGATCATTTCCGCTATATAGTGGTCAGGTGCAGGGGCAGTAGGGTCCCATAACTACCACGGACCAGATATATAGTTTTGGTGAGTAACTTCACTTCTCCGAGCTTGTTTTCTCATTTGAGTGTACTGAGGAGGATATTAGAGAGGGCCCTGCTATGCTTAGCATGGTGCACAGTAAGTTTTTAGTGAAAAAATTATTCCAGAGCAAACCAACAGACTGCTAGGAGATGAGATTGTGTATATGAATGTTCACTGGTGGAACTAATTCCTCACATTCAAGCCACTCGTGCGTTTTGCATCCAGAGGAATGCCTCAGAGTATTATGTGCACCTTTAATGTGTTGTTAATAATTATCTTAAATCACATTTATTTTATTCTGTGTGGTTTTAAATGGTTTCCATCCTCTGTTCATTCAGTCCTGACAATCTCCCAGTGGGGAAAGACTAGCCTAGAGTGGATAAGGTCTTCCTCAAAGTTATGTCAGTAAATGTCAGAAAAAGAACTTGAGTTCATTTTACAAAATTTACATTTAATACTGATTTAACACCAAAGACATATATCCAAAGGTGACATGTAAGTGATGTAGAAACATGTTGCCACAATATACAGGCATAAGAATTACTTAGTGAGCTAGATAGAAAAAGCTCACTTTCTTCCTCTAGGCTCTCATTCAGCAGGTAGGGAGTGAGTGGCAACCTATTTTCTGTGTTTCCAGCAAGACCCTAGGACGATTCTGATGACCCTCCAGAAGCACTGCAATAAGGGGATGCAACACTAAAGGGAGGGGCAATGGAAAAATGGGCATAGGAACCTGAAAGACTTCTGCTACAGTCTTTACCCAAGGTTAGATAGACCGCTTGCTATGGGCAGAGAGGTGTGGGGACCCTGTCTTTGTGACTGAACCCCTTCTGGTGGCTTTTCTTGCTCTGCCTATCTTGCACTACCCTGCTTCACAAGCCTGCTGGTGTCCATTCACACTGAGGTGGGGGAGGGGAGGGCAGCAGTGACCAGCTGGATTGGAGCATGGGCATTCACCATGTAAGCTGCTGCTTTTCACTGCCCCTTTAAATGCTGCTGAAGCATCCAGCTTTCTTTAAGAATGATATTCTAGATTTTTCTGGGGCCTTGGACTTTCCCTTAATGCATCTCTCAGCTACTGAAATGAAGGGACAGGAGCCCTCACATGGCATCATCTGATTTTCTACAGTGGTTGCTACCTGCATGTGTGTGCATTCTCTTTGTTCTGCCATAAGGGAAGGATTGAAATCAGAGAAGTAAGGATTGCTTCAGTGGACTGGGATGTGGGCAAGGACCTGGGAACAGTAGTTTTTATTAAGATCACAGCTATGCTTTCAGCATTGATCATTTTAAATTGTAGAGTGACTAGAAATGCCTCCACTCTCCTTTGGAAAGAGCCCTTACTCTTTTTCCAAAAAAAAAAGTAAAACCAAATGAACAAGTAGAATGTTGATCTACAAGCAGAAGCATGTTTGGCCAATAGATCCTGATAGATAAGAGCTGTTTGCTCTGTGTTCCAGAGACCAAGAATTCCCTGCTCCAGAAAGTTTGCTTGAGGCAAGAATTTGATACTTTGAGTTTTGTATTCAGTATTATTGTGAAGCTAGACTTGAGCAATTTTTTTCCAGTTTTCAGGCAGCTACCAAGAAATCAGTTCATTCCAAAGAGCTCCTTTAGATAAGAAGCAGGCACTTTAAAGCTTTTTGGTCTCCTCTAAGACACAAAAATATGATTTTAATCACTTGATGTTATATTGGGACACCAAAAGTCAAACAAAAGGCTGCTTTGATCTGAACTTTCTCTGTCCCATCAACAAAGATACAAAGAGGTTTGGGATTTTTTTTGCCACCCATACTTAAAAGCATGAGCAACCTTTTTTTTATTTTAGAAAAGGGAAAAAGAAGGTTTATTGCTTTGCTAGCAAAGGAGAAACACAGGGGACTCCTGTCCCAAAGGCTGTGATTCTCTGGTCACTATCTTTTGAAGCAAATAAAAACTTGCATTGAAAATCAAAGATGGTTTTCAACTTCTTCAGCATTAAGTAATGAGAGTGCCTGATTCTTTTAAATCTTTATAAATCTAAGAGTGGAAGAGAGCTGCTCTTTATAGATATTTTAGATTAGTTAGTAGACAACTAACTAGTAGATCACAAGATTATGTTTTATTTAATGTTTCCAGAAACCACCATGTTTAACCATTTCTTGTAGCTATGTGAATTAAGACAGTCCAGATCTTAGATGTGGTTACATAACTCAAAAAGTGCTTAGAGTCCAACATTTGTAATATGTAAGTACCATTCACCATTTCATTATTAATGTTTCTGGTAACTGTCAGGTTCAATCATGTTTTTTTCTTTCTGCAGGATTTTTCTTGGTTGAAGTATAAAAGATACTTTCACTGGTGATTCCAGTTTGGGGTTTCAGGAGCCTTAAATTGTTTATATCTCTTCTTAAAAGTCAGCAAAGATGTCCCAAAGATGTAGGAAAGAAAATGGGTAAATAATTAAAGGAATGAATAAATACAAATCTAGTGCAAAGTTTTAAATGTTTTAAATTATTATTTTCATAACTTTAAAGAATTTTAAAAGATAAATTATTCCAGGTGTCTATTTTGTTGGTGAGAGACCATTACTTGTTTGGGCAAGAGTAACACAGGGAATTCCAGCCATATCCAACGTCTGACTGTTGGTCTAGGAGCTTGATTCTCCTCAAAGCATTGGATCTACTTGATCCTTAGCTCATTTATCCTCCTTGTGTGAAAAAAAAAGGCAAAGAACTCTGCTATACTAGTTTGAAGATTTGCTTTATGTTTCCTAAAGTAGAGAAGAGTGTCTTGAATCACTTTTTGAATTACAAAATTATAAAATTCCCTTTATAGGGAATTCTTTGCACTGGGTATTCCTAGAACTCTAACCAGGTCCCCATAAGGAGGGAAAAATATTTTACCTTTTATAGTACCTGTGTCACTGGTTGCCAGAGGACAAAAGCTATGGAAAGGAAACCCAGTCTCTTCTTGAGGACCATCATGCAGCCTTGGCAAAATAAGTAAACAGTGATGGTATAACTTGGGTTCGTTTCTCCTTCCACCATGAGAAACCCACTTTATTAAGAATTTTCTAACCTGGATTTAACTATTTACAGGGCTCATCAGTGTCCCTCTCACGGTCCAACAGTCGTGAGCACTTGGGAAGCGGAAGCGAATCTGACAACTGGAGAGACCGAAATGGAATAGGACCCGCAAGTCACAGTGAATTTGCGGCTTCTGCTAGCAGCCCCAAGCGTAAACAAAACAAATCAAGTGAGCTTTGACTTTTTTTCATTTAAGCATAATCAGCTTAGAATGTGCTTATTTGGCTTGCGATGATGCTGAACTGTTTCCAGAGACATCAAGTGCTTGCTGTAATCCAGGGGCCACCTCCTCTGTGCAGCTTTCTCTGTGTCTCCCAGTGAAAGCAGGTCATTTGGTTCTCTCCTCTCACTGCATTTCGTACACCTTTCCACTCTAGTACTTGTTATCCTGAAGTACATGATTTATTTATCTCTCTCTCTCCCTATAGAATTTGAGCCCTGCAAGTCGGAGACCATTTTATTCAATAAATATTTAGTAAGTGCCCATGTGCCAGGCATTCTGTAAGGCTGTGTCTTGTTATTTTTTCTCAAATGCCTACCAGATTGTCTGTCACCTAGAAGGTGCTCAGTAAATGTTTGTGGAATGAATAATACAGAAACATCCAGATTATGAGGAAAAGACAAATAAGAAAACGTTTGAGAGAAATCTTATCAAATTAGCATTTACACAATTGAAAAAAAAAAAAAAGACAGACCAGTGTAGCTCTTGAAGGTGAAGAGCAGGATTTGGTTTTTTAAATTGATAAGATGTAGCTGAACTAGCCTTAGTAAAACAGCAGTAATCTCACTTTAAAGCATGGGTGTTCTGTCTGAGCAAATATGGCCAAGACCCAGGATGAGTCCATGCTTTGTCTGCAATAAAGCCTGTAGTTCTGGGATGTGTAGGTAAACAGACAAGAATTCACATAGTCTTCACATCCTTTTTTCTGGGATTTTGACAAATTTTGGAATTCTGAAACATGTAGCTTGGAGTTATTTGGAGACTACTTGAAGAAAGGCAAACTAGATGAGCTCCATAGACACTTAGTACTGGCCAGTCGTTACCATCAGTCAAGTCAACTGCACTGTCAGGAGTCTCAGATTTGAAAAGACCAATCATGTCATTGGCCAAGACTAAATAAGAAAGCAGGATCAATTCTTTCATTCCCAAGTGCACTGTCCGTAGCAACCTGGAGGCTTCCTAATAGTTACTGGCAGGATCCTCCACCTCTGACAGTCTGATTGGGCCAAGAGGCAGGCTGGTGCCAGGAATAAATCTAGGGGTGTAAATGATGTTCAGTCTATAACCCAGTGGAGTTAGTTTTGTGCTTTTCTTTTTTTAATTTTAATCTACTTTCTTTTGTTTTATATTGAATAATTAAAATTGACTATACTATGTGGTTGAAGTTTGGAATTAAGATGGCGGAGTCACTAATAAAGAGGAATGATTAAGAAATCCAGTTATTTGGCCTTTGTCAAATGTTTTAAGAGTGGGAGAAGTTTTGAAAAGGATGTAGAAACTAGTAGTTAAGATAATGTAAGAAAAGTTATGGGCCATTATGAGCATTTAACAGAATATTTTATTTTTAATATCCATTCTTTAAGTTTTTACTGTTTAGCCCAACAGAGGCACAAATAGTTCTCTTAAGTAAAAGTTACCTTACCTTTATTTATGCAAAATCTTTAAAGTGTCCAGTGTGTCGTATACTGGTATAACATCTAAATTCCCATGACTCTTCTTTCAGGCGCTCAATAATTACATGTTGCAGATTTTATCATACTAAATAGCACAGCTTTAGATAATTTTCCGTAACTCTTTTTTTTCTTTAATTTTTATTGTTGGTTGTTCAAAACATTACATAGTTCTTGACAAATCATATTTCACACTTTGATTCAAGTGGGTTATGAACTCCCATTTTTACCCCGTATACAGACTGCAGCATCACATCAGTTACACATCCACTGTTTTACATATTGCTATACTAGTGTCTATTGTATTCTGCTGCCTTTCCTATCCTCTACTATCCCCCCTCCCCTCCCCTCCCATCTTCTCTCTCTACCCCATCTACTGTAATTCATTTCTCCCCCTTGTTTTTTTTCCCCTTTCCCCTCACTTCCTCTTGTATGTAATTTTGTATAACCATGAGGGTCTCCTTCCATTTCCATGCAATTTCCCTTCTCTTTCCTTTTCCCTCCCACCTCTCACCCCTGTTTAATGTTAATCTTCTTCTCATGCTCTTCCTCCCAACTCTGTTCTTAGTTACTCTCCTTATATCAAAGAAAACATTTGGCATTTGTTTTTTAGGGATTGGCTAGCTTCACTTAGCATAATCTGTTCTAATGCCATCCATTTCCCTGCAAATTCTATGATTTTGTTATTTTTTAATGCAGAGTAATACTCCATTGTGTATAACTGCCACATTTTTTTTTTTATCCATTCGTTTATTGAAGGGCATCTAGGTTGGTTCCACAGTCTTGCTATTGTGAATTGTGCTGCTGTGAACATCGATGTAGCAGTGTCCCTGTAGCATGCTCTTTTTAGGTCTTTAGGGAATAGACCGAGAAGGGGAATAGCTGGGTCAAATGGTGGTTCCATTCCCAGCTTTCCAAGAAATCTCCATACTGCTTTCCAAATTGGCTGCACCAATTTGCAGTCCCACCAGCAATGTACAAGTGTACCCTTTTCCCCACATCCTCGCCAGCACTTGTTGTTGTTTGACTTCATAATGGCTGCCAGTCTTACTGGAGTGAGATGGTATCTTAGGGTGGTTTTGATTTGCATTTCTCTGACTGCTAGAGATGGTGAGCATTTTTTCATGTACTTATTGATTGATTGTATGTCCTCCTCTCAGAAGTGTCTGTTCAGGTCCTTGGCCCATTTGTTGATTGGGTTATTCGTTTTCTTGTGGTTTAATTTTTTGAGTTCTTTGTATACTCTGGATATTAGGGCTCTATCTGAAGTGTGAGGAGTAAAGATTTGTTCCCAGGATGTAGGCTCCCTATTTACCTCTCTTATTGTTTCTTTTGCTGAGAAAAAACTTTCTAGTTTGAGTAAGTCCTATTTGTTGATTCTGGTTATTAACTCTTGTTCCGTAACTCTTTTGTTAAGGTCTCCAAGCTTCCCTTTTCCCTGGGCATCCTTGTTTATTACCCGTTGCTCAAATGTGGTTTTCAGTAGTTTCCCTTTTACTGTCTGAAAAGTAAGTTTATTATTTGCACAATAGATCATATGATCAGCCTGCCAGTGACTTCCATGTTCTCAAGCCCAGTGGTCACTCTGATGTGCTCATGGCATTCAGCTTTGTGTCACCTTTGACCCAGCGCCTCACTGGTCACTCAATATTTTCTGCTTCACCTTTTAATAGTGGGATTTGGGGGTTTTTTTTTGGGGGGGGGCCTTTCCCCTACACATTCTCTCTACAAGAGAGAAAATATCTATTTTTAAGAGAAAAAGATGACTTATCAGGAAATTCCTTTCACTTGAGATATATAAAGGGCATCTTAGTTGGAAGATGAAAACAACTGGCGAGAGTGACTGATGGCACCAAAAACAGCACAAAACAAGATTCTTGGGTCTGGCGGATGCACAGATCCCTAGAGTAGATTAGATGGATCAGATTAGCTTAGGGAGTGTCTTCTTCATCATTCATCTTTTAGGAATCCTTCCTGAAACTACATTGGTAGTGGTAAGAACATCGTTCCCACTCAGCAAGAGCCAGTTGTTGGTCAGGCAGGCGGGCAGTGTCTGGTGAAGCACCTGACATGGTTCCATGGTCCATTGCCTAGCCTTGTTTGTCACCTGGTCTGAGAACTACAGACAATGTATTGAAACTTCGCCCACCAAATCATCTGTGGAGGCAAGGCAAATCTGTGCATTACTGCTAGAATTTTCCCCAAGAGACCAATTATTTTCCGTCATAATTTAAACCCAGCAACTTCAGCATCATTCTTATCACCCCTAATTTTAGAAGTGTTATTTAGTGAACTTGCTGTACAGTTTTATTTTCCTAGGGAATGAGATTTATATGTTGCAACATCCTACAGTTCCTGACCAAAAGAGAGCATAAGCAAGGAAAGAGAGGGCACCTGCCATCCAAAAGCACCTGGACTTGTAATAACATCCCACGGCTTTATTGTGTCTTCCTTCCAACTCCTCATTTAATTCACCATCAAATCAATTATAAAGAGCAAATGCTTCTGAATGCTCAGGGAGAATATGATGAATGATTATTAACTACAGAGGCACTGCTGCTGAATTTCTGCCTCCCAAGTGTAACTTTTAAATGGCAAGAGCCTCCCTGAAAGCAATAACCAGCATTTCCTTAATGAAAAGCCAATATTTCAGTAAAGGATTGCTGTACTGCTGCAGCTACTGCTCTGTTCAGCTGAACAATGAAATCTGAAATATTTGGGTGATTAAAACTTTTAATTAAACCATGTTCTCTCTGGGCATTTACACTTCCAGCCTGTCTTTCCTTTGCCTTTCAGCGGAACACTATCTCAGCAGTAGCAATTACATGGACTGCATTTCCTCGCTGACAGGAAGCAATGGCTGTAACCTGAGCAGCTCTTTTAAAGGCTCTGACCTCCCAGAGCTTTTCAGCAAACTGGGCCTGGGCAAATACACAGACGTCTTCCAGCAACAAGAGGTCAGTCGTTACTTATTTTCCTGGTGTCTTTGTTTTGGTAGTGTGTATGACAACCTCTGGAAGGAAATCACTCGTTGACCTATGGCTGTGCCGTCATTGAGTACTTATTCACATCTCATAGCTTGTTCTTGCTGCTAAGGAAAATGTCATCCCATTTCTTATTTATTTAGTGCAGCTAGTAAACATAGAATAGCAGAAATATAGAAAATAGTGTTTGCAAAAATGTACCCTAGCCATCCTCCGCCTGTTTAGCTAAAAGACCTAGCTCTGCTCTGCTGATTCATAGAAGCTGTTGGATTCACAGCTTCACTAAGGTCAGTATCAAGACTGCAGCAGCTCACAGGGTTTCCTCCTTGAGTCTGTTATCATAGAAGTAAATAGCAACACCTGAAATAATATCTTTAGCTACTTTTGATCCATCAGTATATTCTCACAGAATATTGTATTTTTTCATATGCTCATTTATTCATGAAATAACTGCTTGGGATTTGCCTGAACTGAAACAGAACTATGGATTTTGATCAAACTGATCAGCCATGGCCTACTATATACTGACATACAGAAAAAAGCCCTGAGCATGATATGTTCTAAGAAACATCATGTTACTAGGACACACAAACCTAGAACCTCAGAAAATTAAAACGGTTCTGTAACTTTCTCTTTTTCACAGTAAGACATAGTCCTGGTTTGGTGCTTGTTGGCTCGGTTTGTGTCTGGGAACATCTGATTAAAGTCAGTCTTCCCCAGGCATATACCAGTTGACAAAGAATTGAAGGTTTTTATTAGGTCTCTTGTATCATAAATTCAATGTATTGACCATGGCTTAATAAATAATTAAGTTTAATTACCGAATACTTTTGTTACACCCAAATTGCCATGTGTATGCTGAATTTCAGGGAATTGATTTTATATTCTTTCTTCTAAGTTAGCGTTCATTTAACTAAGGATTTCTAAGTTGGTTAACCCTTTACAGTGCTGTCTCCATTTATTTAGTCTTGCTGGTTCCATGAGGGCAGCTGACTGGGAAGCACAAGGGCAGATGTAGTTTAACTTGTCCAGACCCAGAAGAAAATGTTATTCATCGGTATCTAGGTTTGACTTTATTATTATGTTTCTTCAAATAGGAAATATAAGTTATTTTCTATACTTCGTATTCCATTCCTCCAAAAATAAAACATGTGCATGCACAGCCAGAATAGCTTTATCCAATGTTTTATTAACTAGGCCTGTGGCCTGTAAGCCTGCCGTCTCATTTTGTCAATAAAACTTTTTTGGGACACAGCACTCCCATTTGTTTATGTATTGTCTGACTGTTCTCAAGCTGCAACAGCAGAGCTGTACTAGAGACAGGGTGGCCTACGCCATTTCCCACATGCCTTAAGTCTGGGGTCTATTGAACAGAACTTCTAAAAACATATCTTTAGAGCTGTGATAAATGATCTTAAGGTTTTATGAAATCTAGATGTACCTTAAAAATCAAATCAGTGCATTTTAAATTGTGGTCAATATAATTTAATTAAAAGTACATGTTACTTTTTAAATGTTGTGTTGAATTTGGCAATCTTTTTGTAGGATATTTTCTAAGAGTTAGATATGATTTAATAAGAATCCCCCATTAAGCAACCTCATGAGATCCATATACATTATTTACCAACCGTAGCTGCCAGTTGCCTACCCCCTCTGCTGAACATGTTGCTTTACATCTACAGTCACAGTTGGTGACCACCTCAGCCCTGTGTTGTTAATCCCAAGTGCCCACGGCTGCTTATGGCAAAGTCGGGATCTAAACCCCAGGCTCTGGCTTCAGAGGCTACTGCCTTTCTAGTCCTTCACACTGTCTTAAAGGGAAGAGTGGAATCATTGGGCTATTTCCCTCTATACTTTGTATTTGCAGGAATACTACAGTTGTATTCTTTGGCACAAAAATTGTTGTTGCCATTTTTAGAAATAATCTGCTTTCTGGGTTGAGCCAAGTGAACTGTAAATCTGATATTGTCTGGGAATTCTATCAGTTTTCCGTACAACCATCTGAAGATACCATCTGTCATATTACTTAGTTTCATTCTTATAAAGAATCACTTAACCAAACCAGAATCTGAAGCTAAGAAATATTTTTTTTTCTGTACAATATGTATTTTCCTTTTTGCCATAGCCACCAGGATGCTCAGAGCTAAGTTTTCTGCTAGAATCATCACTTTTATGTCACCATTTTATTTCTTAATCCTCTGTCCCTTAGCCACCAAAATTAGTTTTTGGAGGTAGGCATCACATAATTAATAAATAGTTATAATAATGAGTTGATGCTACAATGATGGAGAAAATAAGTACTTAATATATTAGCTATAGAATGTTTTTTTTTTTTTTCCCCACAGATTGATCTTCAGACATTCCTCACTCTCACAGATCAGGATCTGAAGGAGCTGGGAATTACTACTTTTGGTGCCAGGAGGAAAATGCTGCTTGCAATCTCAGGTGAATATTAATGTTCAACTCATTTTAAAATCGGAAAAACCTCTCCCAGTGGTCTCATCTGGTGGGGCTGGTTGTTCTCATCAGCCACTTACATATACTCTGAGGTTCAGAGGGTTCTTCTGCCAACAGTGTGACAAATGTTGAGAATATCCCCCCTCCATCAAGCGGTGGCCTGCTTAGCCTTGCCTTGACAATGCTTTTTCTTACAATAGATCTCTTCAGAAAGATGTAACCAAAATTGCCCCATGCAGAACTTGAGAATGGGGGAGGGGAAGTGGTGGTTTATACTCCTGTTTGCAATCACAGTACAAAATAATCACTGGGTTCATGAATAATTTTCTTGATTGTATATCATATTCAAATGCGTGTCCTTTCACACCAACCAAGATCACTGCACTGAGGACAAAAAGGACATTCTTTGGTGTAGTTTGCAACCTGATGGTTTATCTTGATACTTTTAAATGTTCTCAATGTTTTAATAGAATTTGTGACTCACAAATGGCAGTCACAGAATGAAGGACAATAACGTCTGCCTCCTGAGACCAGACTTCATTGTGCATCTGTTGCCTATTCTGGGTATTAGACAATGCTCTAGGCTTATCTGTTTGGGGGCCACTCATTTGGAAGTAATCGAACCAGCTGAGCCAGGAGTTGGCAAATGTGTAGAAATGTACCTCAAAAATGTGTTTAGAAGGAATGAAGAAATATGGGGGGAGGTGAGATTAGTTCTGGAAGATTTTCCAATAAGACTCTTGAATATCATATGTGTACAGTTTCTCAAAAAGAGACATTCAGGAGAAGCCAAGAGAAATGACTTGCTTTTTCAGAAGTTGAAACTTGCAGGCTATACCTCCATAAGGCCAGCAGATACATCCACTTGGTGGAAGTTCTTTCCAGACAGCATTCAACTCATCAGATCAGCAAATAAAAATGTGAAGCCTCTATGGTGTTTTATTTAGCAGCATATTGCATACTCTACCCACCTCCCCATAAGGAATCTTTGATCTGAAGCAGATATAAGCATAGCAGCTTTGATATAGAGGTGGAAATTCTGCCTGTATACTTCCTGGTGGCAACTGTTCAGCTCCTCTATGGACAGAGTTTTGCACACATCAGTTTTAGAAATCTACCTTGACCTTATATACCCAAGAGGCTGCATTAATGGTACTCCACAAGGTAGATGCATAATTCGTCATAGTATAGGGAAAGAAAACTACATCAAAAAACTGCACTATCTCTGCCAAGTTGTGGGTCCTTGGGTGAGTTTCAAAGCCTCTTTTGGTTTATTAATCCTGAAGATAAATTGGAATAGATGCTTGTATAAGGCCATGTGCCATTTTTAAGATCTGTCTTTTCCTGTAATGTAATAGGGTTTATGGAAATAGACAATGTTAGTGTAAGTATTACTAGCATGATACTCCCTTGCTCTTTCTTTTTTACCATTTGTGGCAATAGGGTGGTTTATTTAACTTGTTTACCAGAAAGCTCATTCTCAGAGGGTTATTCCCTACACTTAAATTAACTTCTGTGCTTTCACATTCTTTTATTAATTTTCAAGTGAAATTGTTGAAATTTTATTAATGAATTGAGCCAAACTGTATCTATAAGCCAGCAAATTTATACCAGTGAAGTGTACACTCCAGAACTCCATTATAGTTTCATGGAATGGCAGTGAAAATATAATGAAAACTAAGTACTTTCTTCACACACTAATTTCAGACTCTGTAAAGCTTTCAACAATGAGTAGATATCTCTAAATAGTTTCCTAGGTTGCAGCTGGATCATCAGTAACTTTATTCTGCAATATATCAGTACCTTTCACTCTGTGTTGTGGGGAGTAGGGCGAGAATCAGAAGGGATTTTGAATCCTCTTAAAAAGTTTTTTTTGTTGTTGTTGTTGTTTTTTTTACCCTCATCTTCAATGTGGGTCTGTTGAGGTTGTATGCCACCTCTGTAGACTGCCCCTCCGTGGGGTTCACAGCTCCTCTGGCTTTTAAAGGGAATTAGAGATGTTGAATAAGATGCTTTATGAATGCTTTGCACAGCATGAAGTATTTGATTAAGGATGATTTTACCTTACTTTTTTGAGTGCATTTGTTTGAACCTGGTAAATTGTTGTCTCTGCAAGTAATAAGATTTTAGTGAGAAACCTTTCATCAGAAAGCCTCTTTCTGCAGTTCAACTTATCTGACAACAAATACATCCATTTATAGTCCCAGAACATTCCATTTCTAGTTAGACACATTTGTCTTGTAGTTACACTTTGGTTAGGTACAGAGTTTGTTCAAACACGCTTTTAAAATTTTATAATTGCAAGTATGAGGTTTTTGTTTTGCTTTCGTCTTGGCCCAGATAACATATAAATATTATAGGAGGAGGTCAAATTTATCTCTTTTAGAGATGGATCCAAGAATAAATTAAATCTTTATTTTCTTTTTTTCAAATTAGTTATTTTGTGAAAGTCCACAGATTTCTCTGCATAGCATAGTGATTGTTTAGCTAGATGTGCAGAGACTCAGTGAAAGGAAGTTAGAATCCTGCTGACAGGCTTCCCATCCCAGCCTCAGGTAGATCTAACATTTCCCGACCTATTCTTTTAGTTTGTGACTCTGTTCAGATCCGCAACAAGATCCTGAGAGCTGCCAGGATTGTGTGAACCTTGGAATTTCAAAGAAAAAGGTTGGTATTTTTCCAAACTATCCCTTAGGCTTACTGAGGGAAAAAAAAAAAAAAAAGAGGAAGGAGTTTGCTTTTAGTTTAAAAAAAAAACAACAAAATCCTTAATCTTTTCAGTAAGATTTGATCTTTGCTTGATGACCTCTCTGGAAGATTTTTTTTTTTAATGCAAAGCACAAATTATATACATGTATCTGTTAGATATTGCATCTTTATGGTATGGTTGAATTCCCTCCCTACCATTTTACTTTTTCAAGCTGATGGGACTTTTCAAAAAAAAAGTCTTCAATGTTTTTTTTTTAATTGTCTTTAGTTGTTCAGTCGTTTTCATGAGCTCTGTTGCACGTGCGTGTGCTAGAAAAGAATGAGGTTGAGCCTCAGTTCTTGCCTTTCCTTCTCTATGACAGTATTCTGATTTGTAGGTTTATTCCCCTGCAAGAAAATGAAAAATAGTCTCCTAGTGTGACCATGGTAAACTTTTCCAGGGGATTCATTTATTCTTAACTCTCCTGTAAATTTGTCTTTGAATATGAAGTGCTGTAGTTGTGGGTTTTTCCCTTTAACAAATGCACTTGTTCAGTTTTGATGGGATTGTTATTGCTACTGTGATTTTGCAGGAACTTGAAACAGTAGCACTCAGTATGCACATTGGCATGTATCTTTGTAAAGATATTGTCCCCATTTTTTTTCAAAAGAGTTTTTCAGCATTTCTCTATTTAAAAATAAATATTTTACTCTGAATATTAAATAATGCTGTCTTTGGGGTATGCCTGTTCTTACTACGTTCTAAAGATTGTGTTCCTGAGGCCTTGGGTGGTCTTCTCCATTTGGTGGGTCTCTCAGGGCATTGACTTTGCATCAGGGAAGTGGGGCTTCAGATTCATCACTTAGCAGATGTGTGGACAAGTGACTTTCACTATTTTTAAAAATCAGTTTTCTCATCTACAAAATATAGAATGGTAATTTTAGGGAGGAATTGAGTAGCACATATATAAAGTGCTTGTAAATCATTATTATCTTCTCTGCTAAGAACTACATATGAACAAAAGAGAGGTGTCTCCACTGTGACTTTGACCCTTATAGGGCAGGAATGTACATTTTGGAAAGCATTAGGGGACAATGTTAAGGGTATTGACCCATCTTTCGGAACTCCAGATCATTCTGACCATATGGGCAGAAAAAAACAAACATATAGCCTGTCAGTGGTCTTATCCTTAGCATTATGTCTCTGACCATAATTGCGGTGTAACTTCAGAATTCAAGAAGGGATGGTGTGTATAGATGGTTGAAGAGCCAAATTCCATAAGGTATTGAATCACCTGTTCCAGCCACCCTCAAGAAAAGGAAAGACAACTTCCAGTCAACTGCATAATACTTCTACTCCATTTGAAAACTGAAGATATTTGTGTTTGGTGTTTATCAGAAACTGACTTCCAGAGTCTGACAATTTTACTTGTATGAAGAGTTAGTTCCATCAGTGAGTCCAGGGTCTGTTGATAATGGGGCTGCATCATCATAAATGAAGTAGTCTGCTTCAATGAACTTTTCCCCTTTCTTGTTAATAATCTTTAGTTGGCAATAGAAAAACTAAACAGTGTTTTCTAAGTACTCTCATTTCTTTACAATTAAAAACAGGTACCTCACTCTTCCTGAAGTTTTGGATTCAAATATAGGTTGTTCTCAAGTATTAATTTTCTAAGCTGTACCAAGTTGAATTTTTATTCAAAGAAACCTGACATGCTTCTTCATATTTCTGACTGAAGAAGACTTCATGTTTCTGACTCAGAAAGCATACATTTCATGAGTTGGGGAACTATGGGGGCTGTGGCTTCACTGGGGTACTCCTCCAATAACCTCGGGTATCGGGTCTTTTCACATCTGACTTCAGTAACGAAGTGGTTACTGTGTTTGACATGGACAAGTTCACTAAGTGTGATGATCTGTGTCATTGGTACTCAGACCTCTCATCTATCATTAACAGCCTTGATTGCCCACTCTGAAATGACCTGTGGGTAGGTCACACTGTTTAAGATGGTTAGAAGATTTGCAGAATGACATAATCTCCCAGGGAGTTTACGAGCTACAGTAAAAGCTATTTGCTGTCTTTGCTTTTCTAGGCTACCATATGCTGCCTCTAACAATCAGATTTTCTAGTAGAATTTCAGAAATGTCTTGACCATTAACTGAAAGGATTTTGGTTTGTTCCCCCCCACCACCACCACCAGATTTGACTTTTTATCCCCAAACCTACTCCATCACCATTTTCTGAGCTCTAATGCCATATCCTGTAGTACATGGGACTGAGCTAACAATTTTTTTCCCCCTCTCTCTAGAACTAAATAAAAACCGAAGAAAGCTCTTTGAACCACCAAATGCACGCACCTCTTTCCTGGAAGGTGGAGCAAGTGGGAGGTTACCGCGTCAGTACCACTCAGACATGGCCAGTGTCAGTGGCCGCTGGTAGCAGTCCCCACTAGGCAAATGCCCACAAGTAACTGTAGAGTTGGATGCAGGAGATCTGTGAACAGCCATCACTGCACACCATCTTCAGCACTCTGGTGTCTGGTATCAGGACCAAAGTATCTTATTTGCACCTGTACTTTGTGGCAGAAAGGAAGAAAAGAGAGAAGATGTTCTTGCCATACAAAATACCAAATGTGGATTGCTTTTTTAAAATGGCAATGGGACAGAATTTGAGGATAAGGCTTTATTTCCTGTTTTTATTTACCTATATAACATATGCACTGATTTTTTTTTGTACTTAAATGAAGGATAAATTGACATGTGGGATGCCAGAAAACTTAGAAGTTATTGTGTTTGCTTGTTTTGGTATTTGGGGCTTTTTTAAAAAAATAATCAAAGTGGAATTTTCTGGTACTGCTTTAAAATACTTATTGAGGCCTTTCAGCACTTTACATATTCTAATTTCTTGTCCTGTGGAACTTTTCTCTCTAATTATGTCACCTGACGTATCGGTACAGATCAGACTTAGTCATTTTTTGTTTGAAATGGTACTGGATATTGATTTCTGTGCAGAATACTCTGTGACTTTGGGAAATGTGAGTCCACTTGGTTATGGGCCAATTCTGTTCATTCATGTCAGCATCCTAGAAATACATAGCAATGAACTAGTTCACAGTAGCAGGTGCAAAAAACAGACCAAATGGACTTTGCAATATTAACCCTTTGCAGTCATTGTATTTAGCTGCTGCCTATAATGCTAAAATGATTTTAATGGTTATCTGAAGGCAAAGGGATGGTTTTTTGGTTTTTCTGGGTTTTTTTATTTTTTATTTTTTAGCATACTGCCAGTAAAGGACACTTATTTATATCAAACTTTATTTTTAGATATTATAAGCATACAGTACATAATTGATGAAATTGATATTTACTAGAGATTTATGGTAGAGAATGGACGGCATTCAATAACTGGAGCCCTAGATTGTCACTTTATTTAAAAAGAAAAATAATCATCTGACAAGACAGCACTGTTGCCATTATGAAGAGAAAAGATTGTGGTTCTTATGATGCACACATTAGCTATGCTCTGTACGGTCATAGGACTTTCCTAAAACTGTCCGCTTATGTTTGTTAAGAATGGAAAGGCTCTATTTAAGTCTTCAGGGTTAGTTTATAAAGATTGCTGAATTCTGAAGGAAAAAAAAAAAAGACTGCTTTCTAAGTGGCTCGATTTATTGTTACAATCTTATACTGTGAAAGTCCAAGAAATCGGGCAACGTTGGTTCCTGCGTCTTTCCAGACATTTTATTGTGGATTTATGAAGGGTTTTCAATCAGTGAAGAAAATCACTCAAGTGCCTTTCCTTCTTCAAAGCAATATTTCTACTATATTAATTTGTTGGAAAATTTTCCCATAGGAAACATTGTCAATTACCTGTAATGATTTATTTATGTTCAGTAACTTTTCTATGTGGACATAAACCACCCTCATGGGCTCTCAGCCAAAGGAATTAGATGAACTTACACAACCATGGGGGAATGACACAAATGTGGGGTAAGAGGCACTCCTGACATTTTCCCAAGACTAAGTCTTACCATTAAAGAATAAGAATTGATATTTTGCACACAGAAAATTTTTCACTTAAAAAGTTTGGGTTATGTAACCTTGAAGGCATAGACCATGAGCCTGTCATAATATTAACAGTTTTATCTGGCATTAAGGGGCTGCCCACTCCTCAACTACACCTAATCTGCTTAAGAATATAGGACTAAGTAATCTTTCTCTTTGCAAATACAACATGCACATGTATACAGATGATCATGTGCAGCTCCCTGACTTATGCTGTGACGGATTAATACAGCCAAATAACAATTCAGTTTGTTTCCTGTCCAACAACTTGATTATCTAATTTTTTTTCTTAAATAAGACCTGCCCCCTGCCAAAAAAATAATAATAAATTGGAGCTTGTTTCCTAGCTCTCTTCCATTTGTATTTGCATTAGAAGGAAGATGGAATGAATCTGCAGTATTCAGCTGACAGCAGTTTTATGAACAGACTTTGATATTATGCCAAAGGGAAAACTGTCCCACTTAAAATAGATTAAATAGGGTGTCTAAAAATAAAAAACACTGGACGTTATTTCACTTTCTCTTGATGCAATAAGGGAATATGACACTACAGTATACAAAGTTGTCGGTGTTATATGATGCACAAAATATTTGGATTATTTGAATAAATGTTAACTTTTAATCAATCTGTGCCTTAATAGTGACTGGTTATCTGTAAATATAGAACAGATACAGATTGTATTTTTGTGTGGGTTTTTGTCCTTTTAGTGACTTTTTAAAAAATGAGATGGAATTAACATTGAAAATGGGAATTTTTTCTAAACTAATCAATTGTTACATGAGAAATAAATTTATATAACCCCTTTGTATTGCTCTTATTTGAAGAAATGTGTCTTCTTTAAAAAAATATTTACACAAACTCTCTACCTGTCTTCAAAGAAAACTTCAGTCTTGGGCAAATTTCAGTAGAGTTGAAAGATGTTTCTGCAGTAGAAGTGAATGTGCACTCTCTTCTGTTGTTTTGCATTGACAGAACTCATTTTCAACCAGAAGTTAAGGCACTTTATTTCAGCCAGTGAATCTAGGACCAGTAATCAATCATTGTTTCTCTGGCCACCCACAGGTACATACAGAAAGAGTTACATTACAGAACCAGCTTTATTCTTGTTATTTCTTTATTTTAAAGACTCAAGTGTATGACCACTTTGACAACCTCATCCATCATCAGAGGTGCTCCAGAACTGACCCTGGTTCACACTTCAGGGACTGACCGTTGTGCTATCTATCACGCTGAAGACTAATTCTCAAACTGGAATTGCTATGCATTAGTAATTCTGAAATTTGGCTAAATTTTTAAAGAAAACGTAGTCCTCTTCCCATTTTGTTCCCAGGATTATCTCTATTTGAATTATCTATGGTTAATTGGTTCTTGAAAGTTCTACAATTAAGAGTTCTTTGAATAATTTGAAATCTTGTCAGTGACCCAATGAAAAATTATTTATACTTGTTTGTATTTATGCACAGATACAAATACGTGTACACAGTAAGTACCATGCTTTGGTCTAGACATAGCAGTGAATAAAACAGAACCCCTTGGCCTCATAGAGCCGACATTCTGAATGAAGAAAAGTGAAGCTGATGAGAAGGGCTTGGAGATGTGATATCCCCACCCTTCAGCACTGGCCTCTGTGTTTATTATACTCCAAGGAAACTCTGGGGCCATCTAGAAATCCCAGTTTTTAACAAAACTGTCAGAAGTACCCATCACATTGCAATAGGCCTGTGTTTTAAAATGCAAACTACTCCTTTCCCCTTTATCCTTCCTTATATTTTCTAGTTTTCACAGGTCTAATCCCATTCTCAAAAGGATAAGTGGCGAAAAGGGTTGTGTCCCACTTTCATAGTCAGACTCTACATTAGGTAAGCACCATAACTTTGTAGACTTGATTCCAGGTCACGTTGTACTTTCTAGAAATCAAGTTTCCCTTAACATGAGTTTGCCACCACTGTTCCCCACCATGCTATAACAACTTAGAAATCAATTCCAAATGTAGACCTCCTACAAGACACAACAATGAATAAAGATTTCTCTTCAGATGACCGGTCATTGGGAACTTCACCTGACTCAGGTACTTATTACATGAATTCAAAGCGTTGAAGTGCGTTTGACCTAATTTTGATAATAAATTGACATTCTATGTATTTTGTAATTCTGGTCATCGCTAGAGGCCACGATTCTCTTATAATTCCTGCTCCAGGTAGGTTAGCTTCCTTGATTCATCTCAGGCAGCCTTTTGGATAATAAGGTAATCTGGCCAGGACATTAAGAGACTAGAATTTTCAAGAACTATGTAATGTTTTGAACAACCAACAATAAAAATTAAGAAAAAAACTAAATTAAAAAAAATAAATAAATAAATTTATATCTGGAAAACAAAAAGACTAGAATTTGTAGTTTAACAAGCATGCAGATGTTGCCTTTAAACCTTTGGAAAATTCCTCTGTCTCAAGAGTCCTTGTCCATAAAATGGAAATAATACCTACCTTTGTGAGTGGTTGAAAGGTAAGAGGGAGCTGTATGTAAATCTGTTTGCACAGCACACTGCTCATAGCAGTGAATTTATAGCAGGTGCCCTTATTACTGCATGGGTTTTTCTTTTAACTGCATCTTTTTCTTTACCCATTGGGCATCATCATTGTGTTTTGTCTTCTACACCACAGCGGGGAAGCCCACTTCCTCTGCCAGAATGTTAGTCTTAAGCACCTGCCCTCCTGACCCAGAAGGTTGAAGTCAGAATACTGTCCTGAAGGTAAAGTCCAGGGACCTCACATTGTATAGAAATCTCTAATGTATTTGGTGGAGATATATATATTTCTTTCTTTTAAATCTGATTCTCTAGTATTGGTATCTGGGTTCTCCACATGGGTGGAGTTAGTTTCAATGGCCATATGTTGTTTCTAATTGTCATATTCTTATAGAGTTCTGCTGAGAGCCAATGCCGCGAGAACTCCAAAATAGTGCGAGAACTCAAAAGTTGCGGCAGAGGCGGATAGTAATGCCTCGCCTGTCAATCAATACTGTTGGCAAAATGCCAGGGGCCATACAGACTCGGCCTTGGCTCTCAGCAGAGTTCAGTACTTTTGGATGTCTTGCCCTTCCCCAACCAAGAGAAAACTATTCCCTAGATGCTCCATTTCCCTCATTTATATTCCTTTCTGTCCACCACACCCTAAGAGTTTCCTATTCCCTAGATGCTCCATTTCCCTCTGTAAGTATCAATGAGCTCCCCCCCCCCACCCCCTGCCAAGGAGCAGTTTGCCTCTATTTGTGCTAAGTTTAGTTCTTTTCCACTTTAATAAGTGAACAGTTAGATAATATTTGACCATTCTTACAGATGTGGCCAGGGCACTTCAAAAACACTTCATCAAGGGATTT